TTTACAATTTGCAAAGTCCTTAACTAGATGTTACTTTAAATTTGTAAACTAATTCAAACTGACATGTACCCACAGGTAAAGAGTAAAACTACAGATTGGAGCTTTTCTTGAGCAAGATTCACATGATGGTTTCAATATGTTTATGAGTGTCCCATGATTTTGTTGCTTAAACTTTTTTACTCTCAAGGTGACATGTATTTTTGGTGGCCAATAACCTGTAAACAACTCTTGAATAATTTGAGGGTAAATATGGTAACTTCAGTTGTAAAGATTCAAGTGTCAAGGCTCATGTCTCAAACACATCTGACCATTCACTTTACCCTGGTATTTGCTGGTTGCACAATTGTGTGTTTGGTTGATCAATATCAGAAAAAAATGGCCAAAAATTGTTTTATTATTTATTTATGGAATTGTTCACTGATTTGAAGAGTGCAGTTTTGGAGTGGTGTATGTTACACAATACTTTTCATTTGACATTCCTTACAATGCACAAATTCCAATCATTTAAATTGATCAGAGAGCCTTATCTCTTGGAGTTGAAAATTGTTTTTTAATTAAGGAACAATTTCATAAAATCACATGCTCAATCTGGTTTAAATTTCCACTGCATGGAAGCCAAAACCTGATAAAAATCTAAAGCATATATTTTTCATCAGTGATTAAACAAACCACCCAAAAGACATGATCAACTTTGGGATTATCTGCTTTTCTGTGCTAATATTTTGATAGATATTACAGGACTATTTTATAGAGCATCTCAATTAGGGTAAAACTCTTGACTTCAAGAAAGTTTTCATGAAAAACAACATTTGCCCATTTTTCCTCTTGATCATCCATAAAAAAAAGAACTCCACTCAAGACAAAAACAAAGAAAACAAACTTAAAATTTTCATATGAAAACAACCACTACCTTCATTGATAACCTCTGAACCTTTAATAATCCAAAAATCATTTTGGAAGTATCACAGCTTCTTCAGAGCAACAAGCTGTTTAAGTTTAGAAAAAAACAAACAGAACTCCTGCAGTGATAAGCAATTCAAAATTTCAACCTGTCACAGCTATGAGAAAAAACTTAGCATTGAAACATGTATGAACATGCACAACATGTGCCAAGATAACCTGTGCTTTAAATGATCTTGCCAAACATTGTATACAAATGAACAAATTGACTACACAAGGATAAAAAGTCTTTACACCCTAACATCAGTATACAGTCTCCTTACTGTTCTCTATACATTTTCTAAGGTGCTGGCAAGGAGAATTTGTCTAACAATCAAGAGATTCTTCAATTAATTATCATTTCCTTTATTCTCATGACCTAAATGTTTGATTCAAGGCTGATATTGAAAGGAGAAATTAGATGCTAGTCACTCTCAGGGATTAAAGGGTCAAAGAAGGGCAGCAAAAGTAATAAGAAGGAAAAAAAAAGAACAATCTGGGGATAGCAGTAAACACATACAGTACATATACTTCAGTATGTATGAGAGAACATCAGAAGTGCGAATCCAAAGGTTGTAATTTCAACTCTGAGAATTCAGAGTGCTTTCAGTCTGAGTATGAATGCAATGATGAATACATCATCTTTCACACAAATGAGTGTTCCTGTAATCTTGAATATTTAAAACTAGGAATCAAATGAGCATAAAATAGTTACAGGGTGAGGTCATGTTGCAATGATATTGTGCACATCATTTATTTCATTCTTTGTGCTAAAAAACAGCATTAGTAGGGGCTGGACAAAAATTAGGACATAGTCCTCCAGTTGCTATTTGTTATTTATTGGGAAGAATTCAAAGTTACTTGTTTTCCATTGCAATAGCACTGAGTGGTGTGCAATGAAAATGCATGACCTATAAGTAATTCATTGTATTCTTTCAAAAGTAATTACAAGTTGAAGTATAACTTACCTTGTTTAAAAAAAATGAAAAGGTCATGGGAAAATAATGGGCATCACACAACAAAGAGTCTGAACTTGTGAGAAAATACTAAAATATATCAATCCCTTTTGAATGTTGTTGATACTGAATTTTTAACTGAGAGAAAAGAAAAAAAAAAGCCTTTGGAATTATTTCTCTTCCGGTGTAGGCATGGCAATTACTGGTAGAAACCAAATAATCTGCAGCTGATAAGGGAGAGCCATATTCCAAAACTGCATCACTGTAGATGTAAAATCTCATTGAAATAACAGTTGTGGACCATAAATTATGTAAAAGAATGTAGTTGAGCCCAAAAAAACCTTTGGAGGGTATAATATTTAGTATTGGAGTGCTACTGTTATCAGTTCTGTACAGAATCCTAATCAGATTATTGTTTTTCAAACTTGAATCTTTCATCTATGACTGCCTAGTTTTAACAATTAGAATTTCCCATCTAGGTTTTTCCTTTATCATTTCCTTATCATGTCTTTGTACATTGTACAATTGTATAACCAGCATGCCCTCATCTGAATGAAAGGTAGCCTAGGCCACTTAAATTTTGTCAGATAATTCTACAAATTGGCTAAAAAAAATGATGTGATCTCAGATGCCTGAAGGATAACTCAATAAATATCTCATCTTTCTGCCCTTAATTCAGTAAGTGACTTTACTGAGATGAACCTTTCCATTATTAGAAGTGATTAACATGTAACATCTCCCTATGGTATCCATACAAAATTCTGCGAACAGGTAATAAGAATACTCAGACTTATCAGTTACAGTTGTCTTCTTGATCTAACACCAAATCCTGGTAACTACAATTATAATTTAAAAGGGAATGTGTAGCAGCAAGAGGAGAGAATTAACAATCACATCTTAGGAGTTAAACTGCTATGTACATATATTGGAGGATTTAAGGGTTTTGACCCTTTTAGCAAACAACACTTTCACCTTTACTTGTAACCCTTTAACTCCCAAGATCTCATTAATAATTCTCCTTACTGTCTGCCATATAGTTCTTCTGAAGTTAGTTTGGGGAATTTGGTAATGGAGCAAGTAATCCTAATTAAGATTTTTTTTTTCATCATGTGTCTGCTTGATATTGTATTGATATTGTAAGGAGAAATTCTTTCTTGGTCACTCATGGGAGTTAAAGGGTTAACCCCCTGTTACAATCCAGTATCCCAAGTTATCTTGTGTTTTACTTTGATGATCTCAGAGTTAGTCTTCACTCTATATTGAAAAAATTTAATACATACAAGGATAAGTAACCCTTTTCTGAAGTGTTTTTTACCCAGTAAATCATTTTTTTTTCTTTTTTCAGACTGGCATTATCATTGTTGACAACTGTAAACTTGCAGTGGCAGTGAATTTTGGGACCAATGCAGCCTTCTTCCCATGTGCCGCAGCACAGCAACTTCAAATTAAAGATGAATTGGAAAATTACAGGTACATTTTTATGTGAATGCACACCATCAGAGAGGCAGAGTGGCTGAGTGCTTAGGGTGCTGGCCAGGTGCTTAGGGTGCTGGCTAGGTGCTTGGGTGCCAGCCAGGTGCTTAGGGCACTGGACTTGTAATCTGGTGGTCCAAGGGTGTAGTTCTCCACTCAGCTACTTACTGGATTTTTTTTCAGTTACCCTGAGTTCCACTCACTGGTTTTGCTCTGTTTGGCTGCCTTTTACTAGTTGGGAATCTTAAAAACTGTGTTGATGTTTATTTACTATGTTTATTTCCAATTTGTTTTTACATATATTGGAGGGATTTAAGTGTTTTTACCCTTTGACCCTTTCACCTTTACCTGTAACCCTTTAACTCCCAAGATCTCATTAACAATTCTCCTTACTGTCTGCCATATAGTACTTCTGAAGTTAGTTTGGGGAATTTGGTAATGGATCAAGTAATAATCCCCAATTAAAATTTTTCCTATTCTCATCACTTGTCTGCTTGATATTGTATTGATATTGTAAGGAGAAATTTTGTCTTGGTCAATCATGGGAGTTAAAGGGTTAATCCCCTGTTAAAATCCAGTATCCCAGAGTTAGTCTTCACTTTATATTGAAAAGATTTAGTACATACAAGGGTTAGTGACCCTTTTTTGAAATGATTTTTACCCAGTAAATCATTTTTTTTTCTTTGTTTAGACTGGCATTATCATTGTTGACAACTATAAACTTGCAGTGGCAGTGAATTTTGGGACCAAAGCAGCCTCCTTCCCATTTGCTCTAGCACAGCAGCTTCAAATTAAAGATGAATCGGAAAATTACAGGTACATTAAATTTTTTATGTAAATGCACACCATCAAGAAAGACCCAAGGAGTAGGCAGAGTGGCTGAGTGCTAAGGGTGCTGGCCACCTGCTTAGGGACTTGTCATCCTGTTGTCCCAGGTTGTAGTTCTCCACTCTGCTACTCACTGGATTTGTTTTCAGTTGCACTGAGTTCCACTCGTTGGCTTTGCTCTGTTTAAAGCCAATTTGTCTGCCTTTTACTAGTTGGGGTTCTTAAAAACTGTGTTGATGTTTATTTACTATGTTTATTTCTAATTTGTTTGAATTAATTATTTCTAAAATTTGTAAGCAAATTCAGAATAGAGAAATAATTTACATCATATGAACTGTTAATAGTGTTATTATTATTATTATTATTATTATTATTATTAATTGTCATTATTATTGTAATTATTAATTATTGTTATTATCATCAGAGGTTTAGGTATTTATAAGCGGGTCAATACATGCAATAATTTTAGTATAGTGGGTGACCTTTATTGTAAGATGTTTTTGACATGTTCTTGACCCCAAGCAGTGATTTTTTTGTCAGATTACTTATGTCAAACTGCTGTTGGAGCTCTCGTTTTTGGGAGTCAAAGGGTCAACTGTAATCTTGAGGGCTAGAACTTCCTGATCAGTGTGCTTTGATCACAAGTGTACACTTTTTGCAGTACTTGACCTATACATAATAATAGATATCTACTTACTTTTTAAATTCTCAAAGTCGTGTATGGAATGTTTTCGTGTTTGGAATAAAAAGCAAACTGCAAATAGCAACACTGTGATCCTTTTTTTTTTTTTTTAGCTTCTTGGATCTGACAGGCCCTCTTTTTCTCGGTGGGCTCGTGCAGCTACCAGTTAAATTCCCAGTCCTCTACAAACATTTCACTAGCGGCATCAGAAATGTTTACATCGATCACAAGTTCTTGGACCTCAGTCAGCCATTGTACAACAACGGAACCAGTGCTAAATGTAAAGCAATGGGCAACACGTACGCATATAAACCTTGCAAGCGAGGCACGTGTTTTAACATACTTGGTTCTCGCCGGTGTGACTGCTCCACTGGGTTTGATGGAAGTCGCTGTGAAACTGGTATTGAATTATTCTTTATGGATATGTAAGTGAACTTTCCTCTGGCACTTACTTTAGTTTGAAGCGTTCGGAAGAGTACGGAATCTTTTGGAATCTTTTCAAATGCTTGGTATCTATGGTACCGCTCGCGTATATGTTAACTGCGCAGACGAATTTCATGCGCTCTGACGCAGGGTAGTCAGACGCGTATATACGATTTTTTTATTTTATTTTGATATCAGGCATTAATTCATTTATCTTCTCATATTTATTCGCCCTCATCTGGCGTACTTTAGGTCTAGTGACATTTCTGACATACGCACGGATTTTGACACTCTCGCGCAGCTCGGAATGTTAGGAATGCTAGGATAATATCCTAGCATTTCTAAAAAGTACTTACAGTTGAGGCCGCTTGCGTCCCCTCATGACTCACTAATATACTTCTCAACTATTCATTGCAATCAGCGCTCCCTAAGATGTTTACGTCGCGGAATGTAAACAATTTGGTGTTTGCATCGCAGGTTATGATTTCTTCGAAACTTCAAACCTACTCCGATCATCTTCAGTGAGGATCAGAAAGAAAATATACTTTTTAAGAATTTGAATGGTATTCTGTTTTATTCATTGCAATTGGCACCCGCTTCAGTGTTTACACACCGGAATGTAGACAGTTTCATTTCACATCGCTCGTGATGTTTTGTTTGATTGCGGAGCGCGTCATATCACAACGATGAAAGGTTAAGTTTTAGTAAATCGTGTAAATATATATTAGCCACCTCCGGAAAGTTATTCCTGCCGTAGTCCAACTTGAAGGAAGAGCGTCGGGATACTAAAAGCTTCCATAATAAACAAACGGCTCCTTTAGGAGCCACCAATTTTACAAAAGGTCTCTGATTACCGTGTTGAACTACACAAGTTCGATTATTGCCGTCTTGATGTTTTGCCTAATTACACGCGCCGATGAGTCTTAAACAAACTTGAACTACATGTATCCTGGAGTTCATTTTTCCGTTCCATTTTTTCGAGCAATTTGGTGAACATTGATCGATGATTCGACAAATATCGAAATAAAAAGCGAATCCGGTTTCTTAAAAAAAAAAAAATTGCATACGAGTTAGAGCAAGACGCAGTCGTGACAAGTAATCATACTGTAACACAACACCATTAAAATAAGAGAGTAGCACTTATTAGTTTTTGTATAGATGGCGAGATGAATGAACCAGTTTTTGAGAACAGCATGTTCACCGATGACAAATGCTATGAAATAAACATTCGTGCGTGGGTTTGCATTCCGGACGCAACAACTGGTTACAAACGGACGCCTTAGCTCAGATTCTACCGAATTACAATACACTGAGAATAAGTTTATTTTGAACAAATTCCCAAGCCGATGAAATTAAGAGATCCTCGCAGCTAAGAACACTACTGGAACGAGTAGTTGTAAATAGGACCTGAAAAAAATTCAGGCCCGTACGGGATTTGAACCCATGACCTCTGCGATACCGGTGCAGCGCTCTACCAATTGAGCTTGCTCAATTGCAAATTCCCACGCCGTGGCGACGGATGTTTCTATATACGAAGTGGGAAATAGCTATTTGGATAGATGAATTCCGTTGGAAAATGGTAAATCATCTATATCTTCCGATTACGAAGTCGCATTGGTACTAGCAGATTGGGAAGGTCGGTTCGAACGACGATTGCAAATAACAAATTTGCTTGTCATTGGTAGCCGTGTAGTATTTTAATGCGATTGAATTGAAGCCTATTCTTTAAAACAATAAACCGCCAACACTAGAAAGACAAAAGGACTACCTCATACATACTAATGAGGCTGATGTCTAAAAGTCGTGCGCGCACGTGCGATTTTTTGACGCGCACGAATTTTTTTATTCGAAATTGCATGCGATTTTTTGCGCGTTTAATTCGCGTTTTTCGGTTAACGTATACGCGAGCGATACTGTAAGATGCAGACAACAGTTCATGAGTTGTGCATGATAAAAGACACCTTATGAGCATTTAAATTTATGCGGTTCCTTGTTATGAGAAATATATCGTTGAGTTTATCTGATTCAGTGGATCTTCAATTAATAAATGCACGTACTTAATCACCGGTATTTTCGCCTTGAATTATCGATCCATACCAGATTTTGACCCGACAGTTCTGAGAAAAGAGCGAAAAATCAGTTTTACTGTACATCTGACGAAGATCTGCCGGTTTCAAAAACCCTGTGAACAATCCTCAGAGTTGAAAGATTCCCTTCCTTAACGTTAAGGGCCGAGTTCCTCAAATACTGTCTTCTGTTGTGTCAGCAATTTCTGTTTCTTAACCCTTTCACTGCCAAGATATCATTGGTGATTCTCCTTACTGTCTGTCATACAATTCTTATGATGTTAGTTCTGAGAATTTAATATTGGATCAATTGATAATTCCTTAATTGATATTTTTCTTTATTCTCGTCTCTGGTCTGCTTGTCTACAATTCTCACATATTAGTTTAGAGAATTTTGTATTGGATCAGCTAGCTATCCCCGAATTGATGTTTTTCTTTATTCTCATTGCTTATCTGGTTGATATTGTATTAATTTTGTAAGGAGAAATGCTGTCTTGGTTACTCATGGGAATTTAAGGGTTAAATTGGAGAGAAATTATCCAGGACTCCAGTTAGCGTTGATTTTCTGGGAGTCACGTTACCCTAAAATACCCCATATTTCTTATCACGGGTTCTTATATGGAAACCATTCATACAAACTTCCTTGTTTAACAGGTGTAAAATACACAGAGAGATTCTCAGGACAGAGGTTTAGGAGGGTGCCTGCCATCTCAAAGGTCAATCTTCCGTGGAGTGTTTCAATGAGATTCCGCACAGCCAAGCCTTCAGGAACTCTGCTTGAAATCGCTTTTTCGTCACCATCTTCGGTGTCGGAGGTAAGTTATGTAAATCAAGGTACATGTTTTAAAAGTCATTAAACGTTCTTATACTTACGTGAACTTCGTTGCTATATCAGTAGGTTGATGGTAAACTGTAATACAACTACAAAGGGCTGTTGGTTCTCCAATTGCCTCACATAGCGGTGAATGATACCCAGTGGCATCACATCGAGATCCTCTGGACAGATTCTCCCTTAACATAACAATGGACTACATCTACAAAGTCTCTGCAGATGCATCCAGTGGAAAAGACCTTGGAGTTGTCAGACAGTTTTTCATGGGAGCGAGGAAGAATTCTACCAAGTCTGCAGTGTATGATGGATTTAGAGGCTGTATACAAGGTATGCTTTTCTAAACAAATTCCTCTAGTTAAACTGTAGGCTTATGTTTCTGTAGCCTGTTCCAGGTATTAAATTAGTAGTAATGCACTGATTTTCCGAAGCTTGGAGGAAAAGATAGTTGTTTATGAGTATAGGTAATAACACGATTTCGAGTGCAATTTGGTGTTAATACGCTCGAGTAAATTTTTCAGTACCACAAAATTGCACTAGCTGTAGGGCGAGTGAAGTTTGTTGTCTTTGAAAAATTTATAAGTACTTATTATAACAGTGTTTTCAAAAGTAACCGGCGCCCGACGCAAGTCACCGGCTACTTCGAGCGTTAGCGCCGGGTACTTTTGGAAGTCAAAATTAAAAAAAAAATTAAAAAAACATAAAGTTCCGATTCCTATGGGTTAAAGTTAAGGATAACATATTTTGTTCTTGCCCACTGATCGCGTTCCAGCATCAGAAATCGTAACTCTTTTATTCAACAGCATTCAACTTGGACTGGAAACCATTTGCGTTTTCCCACGAAAGACCGACATTTGATCCTGCTATTTCGTGACTAGTTTTTTCTTGCGTAAGCGAATTATGAAATCGTCTTCTTCTCCACATCGCGTGTTTGAATCTGTTTGTGAATTCGTGAGAGCTTTGTACTTGGCGCTTTCTTTAAGAAAACGGTCCCAGTCACCGGATGAAAAGGCAGAAATCACAGCCGCTTTTAACCCAGTTTGGGTTCAAACAGCAAAGAAAGGAGATTGCAGGTATGAAACACTTTTTAAAATGCAAATGTTCGCCGGGTTCCTGTTTACAATCCCCCAGTCCATCAGAAAATAAGTATTGGTGCATGTTATGAATGAAACATTGCTTGAAAACAATATTGTATCGCTTAGGTTGAATTATTTATTGTCAACAAGGCGATTTATAAGGGATGCTTTTATTTATTCAACGCTTGGTTTCGTGAGGCGCCGTTTCGAGAATGAACTGGCAGACTCTGGCGATTAAATAAATTTTATGCCGACACAAATTTGGTCACATTTAACTTTTTATATAAGCCAGGCATTTTTAAGATTTTTGTGAGACTTAAAGTTTCATTTCAAGTCTTCATAATCAGTAAAGCGGGTGAAACTGAATGTTTTACAGTTCTTTATGGAAAATTAATTTTATACGAAGCCGACACAGCCAGACTAGTCGCGACATAAGTCGCGCCACATGTTACGGCTCGCTTAACATATATGAGTTTTACTGAAATTGATTGTTTAGCAAAGCATTGTTCTTCTGATAACTAAAAAAAACAGTTAAAACAGTTGTGCCCGCGGAATAAAATTGATTTATCTAATCGATTGAAATTTTGGCTAACAATGCATTATTTATGGAGCTTGTATGTCGCGCTAAAAAATAAAATTTAATCTCCGCCTTTAACTCAAATTTTGTATACGTGAGGTCATATACGTGAGCGCGAAATAACTATGCTTGGTTTATTTAACGCGTTGGTCATGGGGGATAAATGGTACACATTGTCAACATCGATACATATTCTCACTGCTTTCGTTAGATGCACCAGACACGGAAGGGTCTTCTGCAACGCCTAGTACGTCCTTAAACTTCGAAGATGCCGAAAGTTTGCCCGTCAATGTGTTACGCGACTGCCAAGAAATCTCTGTGACCGCAGCCCCTACCAACCACGCTGAAGGTAAACGAACTTTTTATTACAATTCGTGATATTTCTTTCTTTTTTTGAGAGTAACCTTCTCTAGTTGGTGGTTTGCATCACACACTGAAGAAAAAAGGTAAAGAATCTTACATGTATTTTCCTCCCACAGATACTGTGTGTATACAGTCAGAGAGTGATATCACGAACAGTTTCACTGAAGAACAGCAGACAAGAAAATTCATCACTACATTCTCTGCAAAAAGCGTGACTGCTTGGGTGTGTCTCAAGAAGAAAGAGCACGCATCAAAACAACCAAAAAGAAGCAGATGTTTAATCACAGCCTTATCTTTAATAAGGATTTGGCCTATAGCCCTAAAGTACAGATGTGGTGGCTCGTTTACATCGAAGGAGAAGGTCAATACTGTCTGATCTGCAAGAAGTTTGATTCCAAGAATCCCCAAAACAAAAAGGAATTTTTTTCTGCAGAACCAAGCACAAGGTTAAAGAAAGATTGCCTCGTGGAGCACATTGCAACAAAGAGACACAAAGATGCAATCACTGCCATTCTTATGAACAGGTTCTCAGTTTTCCAGAAAGAGCTCGATCATAATGCTGAAGTTCAGGTTGATGTGTATGAAAGAGTTTTCTATTGCCTTTACTGGTTGGCAAAGGAGGATATAGCAAATGTCAAGGTTAAGAGTCTGTTAAAGTTGGTTGCGAAGCTGGGGTGTGATATGAGTGGCTTTAATCACACATCAGTAGGTTCCTTTCGCAACATGTTGCTTCTTCTTGGTGAAATGATTCAAAATGAAGTCATTTCTGCTGTAACTGGGCCATTTGGGGTGATGGTTGATGACATGACTGACATTGCAAATTTGGAGCAAATGATTGGTTTCATCCAGTATTATAACAGGGGTAGCGAAAAGGTTGAGGTGAAATTTTTGTGTTTGGAAAATGTTCTCGCCAGCTCTGACGCAGCAGATTCTTTAACCATCACAAGCATCCTTCTGGAAGTCATTGAGAAACACAGTCTCAATTTTGACTGGTTTAAAAGCTTTGTGTCAGATGGAGCAAGTGTCATGGTGGGAGAAAGGTCAGGTGTAGCTACCAGGCTGAAAGCAGATGAAAGAATCCAGTCGTTAATATCTGTCCACTGTGTTTGTCACAAACTAGCGCTGGCGTGTACCGACACTTTAAACGATCTTGCCACAATAAAGAAGATGCAGAACACACTAAACACCCTTTGGCAACTCCTTGACAACTCGAACAAGAAGACAGCCATTTTCCTGAAAGTTCAACTTGAGGTGAGTGAAATAACTCTCTCAAACAAGAATTCGCAGAAGAAGATAGCTAAGAAGCTGAAGAAGGCCTGTCAGACACGATGGCTGTCATTTAACGCTGCCGTTCAATCCGCTTGAGAGAGCTTCTCTGCCATCATCCAGTTCCTTATCAGGATGAAAGATGAGGACCCCACATGCCAGGGCCTGTTAGTTCAAATGAACAACGTCCGCTTCCTGGCTTGCTTGTATGTTTTAAAGCATGTGCTTCCTGTTCTTGACAACCTGTCAAAATCGTTTCAGCATTCTACTGTCAATTTCAGTCACCTTAAACCAGAAATTGTTCGTGCTAAGGCAGCGCTGGATGAAGTGGCAACCAAAGAAGTCCCCATCAAGCAATTTTGCCAAGATATCAAGGAAGGAAAGATGGTGCTGCTGCAGTTTTCCCCTTCTGAGCATCAGCTTGCATCCATGCGAAATTTGTTGCTCAAGTATGTCTCTGCTTTGAAGGAAAACATCGACCTGAGGTTTCAGAACACCCTCCCTCTTCTGGGAGCGCTCTCCATCTTTGATCCAACTCTTATTCCTGCAAGCTCTTCAGAACTTCCCTCTTACGGAGTAGATTCTATCCAAGTTCTTGCCAAGCACTACTTCCCCGACCAACAAGACCGACTTTTGGCAGAGTGGAATATATTAAAGTACCACATGAAGGAGATGGCCATTCCAGCTGATGTAAAAGAAGGCAAGACTACCATGCCAGCAGAGTGGTGCATGTCCCAGCTAATGAAACAAAGATCTTCTTTCCTTTCTCTTCTCCCTCTCCTCATGCACATTGTAGAAATAGCTCTCACGATGCCCATAAGCAACGCATGGCCTGAAAGGGGAGTCAGTCGAGTTAAGCTTATAAAGTCAAGGCTCAGGAGCAGGCTGACCAATGAGATGCTGGAGGCCCTTGTTAATATCTCTATGAATGGTCCAGAGGCAAATTCTTCAGAATGTGACACCCTGGTGAAGAAGACCACTGAGAAATGGCTCTCTGGAAAACGCTACAATTTGGCCAAAGGGAAGTCAGCCTCAAGAGAAAGCAAGGGCAAAGAACCTGCACCACCAGAATTAACAAGTGTATCAACACAGACGGACCCACAAGTTGAAGATCGTCAGAGTCAAGAAGAACAACAAGCGTTGCAAGAGGAAGAGCAGGCCCTCATTAAACTTGGCTTAGCAAATTTTCAAGATGATCCAAGTTGTGACGACAGTGACAGGGACAGTGCAATGGGGGAAAGTGATTTCAGTGACAGTGACTTTTAACTAAAAAGAATCGAGCCTGAGTGCTTGGATGCCATAACGAAACTGTTCATCTGTATTTTCAATCTGTAGGAAAACTCTGACTGCAAAAATAATTATTTCAAAAGTTGATTCATGTTATAACAGGTCAATGAAGTACTGACAAGGGAAAGAGGTCAATTTTTATTTAGATGTAAATTGTAATATGTAACATGGGACTGGAAGGAAAGCATTGTAATATGTATGAGTAAACATAATTTTCAAGAAACTCTTGATAATGAGTCAGATTTAAGAAAAACTCTAGGTTATAATAAAGTGTACAACGACCTAAAAAATAACTTTTTGGTCCTGAAAATGCACCAGAATGCACCTCAGAGCATGCAGATTTTCAAAATTTTCTGGGGGAGGCCCCCCATACCCCCCCTGCAGGAGGGGGAAACCCCCTCCCGCACCCTCCCCACGGGCGGCTTTGCGCCTAGCCGCTGTCGCGGCGCAGAGGTGCTCCGGCTATTTTAAAATTTCCTCCTGATACTTTTTTTCATTTTGAAAACCCTGCTTATTACCCTAAATTGCAAGATAAATCGTGTTATTACTTGTTAATAATTTACATGAAAAAACATCACAGAAAGGCAAGACAGACTAAACGTTAGGTTTGGAGCGTTAGTGTGAGTGCGTATGTGCGTGCGCACGTGCGTGTGCGAGCAGGTGCGTACAAGCGCGTGCATGTGTGTTCGTGCGTGCTTGTTTATGTAGTAAGGGCTGAAACTGTGCTATTGGAGTGAGCATGGCAATAGTGGATGTATGAATATTAGGCCATTTCTGACTCCTTTTTCGTGAAAATAGCTTCGTTTGCAAAATAATTTATTTTCCTTTGAGAAGTATCGTATCTGGGCTCGTTTTAAAACAGAGGCTGAGGCCTCTCGGAAATGGTCCAACTCGGTTACCCGTTTATATGAGGAGACACTAACCTCCCTCTTTCCCTATCCGTAGGGGTTTTTGTCGGGAGCACTGAGATCAACATGAACTCTGGAGTCAATCACAAAACAGCATCCATCTGGTTGTGAAGAGAAAATGAGAAGCCACTGCTCATCGAACCCTTGTCCAGACTAAAGTACGTGCCAAGAGGAATTCGACTCCTACAAATGCATATGTCCCGTAGGTTACGGTGGTAAACATTGCGTGCGCATATGTTCTCTTAAGCCGTGCCGACATGGCAAATGTGAAAGTTCAAACCATGGAAAGGGATTCCGATGTGTTTGTCCTCAACAGTACACTGGTAAGTGGATTTTTTTTTTTTTTTAATCTTATTTTATTTTTTTTTCATTTAAAGTTATTCCCTATTGGACATTTGTTGGTACCATTTTAATGCAAACAAAGTTGTTATAAATGAAATAAGTGAGTAAATAAATAGTGAATAATACATGGGCGCACGTAGATATGGAATTTCCCTTCGAGAGTTTCATTCGATAGCTCACGATTTTGGTGTTTGAGGACAGTCCCGAAGGATCTTTTACACTAGGGTCAAATGTGAGAGATGTTTAACTCTCAATGATCTCAACAGCAAAACCATGACGACGTGTGATCAATATGCAAATTCCTAGCTGTGTCTAAAGGCACGACTAATGCACGAGTAATGCAAAGCCGCAAAATCACTCCAGGGCGAGTAAAGGGATTCCGATGTGTTTGTCCTCAACAGTACACTGGTAAGTGGATTTTTTTTTTTTTTTTTTTATCTTATTTTTTTTTTTTTCATTTAAAGTTATTCCCTATTGGACATTTGTGGGTACCATTTTAATGCAAACAAAGTTGTTATAAATGAAATAAATGAGTAAATAAATAGTGAATAATACATGGGCGCGCGTAGATATGGAATTTCCCTTCGAGAGTTTCATTCGATAGCTCACGGTTTTGGTGTTTGAGGACAGTCTCGAAGGATCTTTTACACTAGGGTCAAATGTGAGAGATGTTTAACTCTCAATGATCTCTACAGCGAAACCATGACGACGTGCGATCAATATGCAAATTCCTAGCTGTGTTAAAAGGCACGACTAATGCACGAGTAATGCAAAGCCGCAAAATCACTCCAGGGCGAGTAAACAAATAAAAAAATCTTAATGATTTGCGGGCGAACTGGTACTGGTGATTAGGCGCGAACTTGCTGTGGGGCGAATTCACCAGTTAACGATATGCAACGCAAATCTCTCACTGTTGAACTTAAGATTCACTTAAACTTAGAGTTTTAATGTTTTGTATAATTTCTTAAGGGAATTTTGTGAGGTCCGCATGGAGATACCCTGTCGAGATAAGTACTTTGGTGCTTCAAGTATAGGCGTCTGTGGTCCGTGTAAATGTGAAGTGGGGATGAATCTGAGTCCAGTTTGTAACAAGTCTACAGGAGAGTGCTACTGTAATGTAAGTACCAAATGGAAGAAGCTTATCAGATGAACTTTATTTAAACCGTGGATAGTTTCGAGAGTCTAAACCAGGGAAAAAAATCAGAGCAGTTTCTGTTTTTCTTTAAGAAGTCAGGAGAATGAGGGAAACGCTCGCACCTCAAGCAACGATCCCATCATGCCTAGCTCTTAACTCTTTGACTCCTAAGAATGACTAGCATCTAATTTCTCCCTGTGATATCATCCCTGAATCAAATATTACGGTCATGAGAATGAAGGAATTGATCACCAGTTAAGGAAGCTCTTGATAGTTTAACAAATTCTCCTTGTCAGGACCTTTGGAAAGGTGAAGAGAACAGTATAGAGATTATGCATACTGATCGTAGGGTGCATAGGGTTAACTGTACAAACATTGTCTGAACTTTTGCCACTTTCAAAGGCAGACCTCCTCGCGTGAGGAAGACCTGTTGAATCGGGAAACGCGTTCACTGCCTTATCTGTGTAAAAAGTTTTGGTGGCAGCGATAATAGTTTTATGGTGTCTAAATTTCCTATTTCTTGCCAAGTCACAAGAAACCCACTGTCAAGAAGTGAAATTGTGACTAAGAGAGCTGTTTCGAAATGATGACATGACACAACGTACAAACTTTTAGGACGGGAAAATCCACTTTTAATTTAAGTGTGCAGCTGCGAATGTGCAGAGGAAGTTCACTGGTCAATTTTTTCACCCTGAAGAGTGACTAGCATTTACTTTCTCCTTACAATATCATCCCTGAATGACAAAATAAGGTCATGAGAATAATGGAAATGATCAACAACTACAGAAGCTCTGGATCGTTCAACCAATTCTCCTTGTTGGCACCTTAGGAATTGTAAAGAGAACAGTATGGAGAATATGCATACTGATGTTAGGGTGTAAAGGGTTAAAGAAAGTTTTGCCAGAAAACGCAACCAAGAGAGTAGTTTACCGATCAAAACCGACTTTTCGATCCGGAATCCCTTGCGCTTACAATTTCTGCCTCTCTCAAGAACAACAACTTAAGTTATAATTTGATATGATCCACAGGTCCTTCTTCAGTCAGCCAGAACTCTGTTTAGCTCCGATAACAAAGATGTGTGGGACGTCGTTCAACAGGTAATAATTATTGGATCAATATCTGAGCGCTTACCCTTCCCCCGACCCAAGAACGGTCAACTAATAACAAGTTAGTGTTGTTTTTTGGCTAAGGGAAGGGTAGGTGTGCAGTTGCGCAGGTACTGACCTTGATCCGAATTATTTTTATTGGTGTTGTTTCTTTTTTGGCAAGTAATCCACGGTCGATTTGTCGCCGGTTTTTATTTCACTATGCTCTCCAATTGGCCTGTGAAACTTGCGCCCTTTCATCCAGTCGCTTTACTGCAAACAGAAGCCAATAATGAAGTGTTAACTGTGATCATCACACTTATTCAGAATGCACGCTACTACTAAGATATATTCAGATGTCTGTGGTCATCGCAGTAATCTTTAGTATTAATCTTTCCGCTTCGGCTCCAGTTTTCAAAAATAATATCAACGTTCGTTCTGTTGACTTGCACAAACCGTTGACATGCGCAATCCGTAGCAAACGTGGGCGGACGTCAGCTACCAAGACGCAAGTATTAATAGCTGATTGTGATAGTGCATGAAAAAGCACACAAAATTTTTTAAAAAAATTCATTTGAATATTGCTCCTAGAGACAAATGACCAGTGGATTGTGACCTCCTTGTTTATATTGACACGAGCTCGAAGGCACTGGCAGTGAGGTCGAGTTTTGTTGGACCAGTAGATTTTTTTATGTACACTTAACCCTACTACTACCTTTTGTTGGCCGTGTAAGCCTCTTATCTTGACTGCTGTTACTTTCAATTTGACAGCACTCCGCAGGGACAGTGGCTCTGTTAAAACAGATGGAAAACTCCAGCGGAAATTTGGCCAGAAGTTTACCGCACTTAAAACGAGACTCGCGCAGATACAGTCGTTGTACCGAAAGCATCTTGCCCCTGTACACGATTATTACTCTCGATATTGTTAAGAAATATATTTTGTTGAGTTTGCTGTGTCTCCTGGTATTGTCTCTTTGCAGGCTAAAGAGGCAAAACATTCTGGAGTGAAGGAAGATTTGACCTTAACTAACCGGTCAAATGTAAGTACTGCCACTGGTAAATGGTGGCAAGTAATGCGAAGTAATTATGTTCGCTCATTTTACCTCGCAGAACATCAACCAATGCCCTCTTCTTATACCTCACACTACCAATCACGTTCTCCGCCACACTGTTACCAATCAAATGTTTGTAATTGTGGTAGAAATAAAGAAAACGATTTGCTCAGTTGTCAAGTTTGTTTGTCTGGTATTAACCTTGTGACTTGTGCAAGCAGCAGAGGTCTGACAGAATCAGTGTTGTGTGCACTAAAACCTGTTGTCTGTAAACAGTGCAATACTCGCTTTGCTAATAGCCTATCATTGTCGTCTCATTTAAAGTTCTGCAATGCCACTGAGGTAAGAAGTGTAGCTATCAAGCCAACTTTGATGACAGTACCTAGTTTAAAAGAAGCTTTACGTAGTAGACGATTAAGCACTGCAGGTACCAAGGAAATTCTAGTTAGGCGACTTGAAGGTGTTTTGGCTGGGGAGGGGTCGTTGAATTATTTTTTAATCGACAGTTTAAATCTCCCAAAATATTTGATTTGAAAGTTATTTTTCTTTGTCAAGTTGGTGCACATTAAGGCATACTTGTTATGAGAATGATAACTAAGCTCTCAACAAATTCTGTGTAACAGTAATGTGAGTAATATACCTACTTCATAAGAAAAATATATTTAAATTGGTGCAAAATTTTTTTAAATTAGCTATGTTTGTCAGAGGGGTTAAACCTGTCCAAATGCAAAAGTACTGTTGTCACTGATATCACTTGGTATGCACTGATATATCACATTTAAAACTTTATAAACCCATTATTTTTTACTGACATTTTAGAGGCAGGGTTTCTGCTCTAATGAATTTAAGGAATTTTGTACTTAAAGGTTTGAGCACTTAACCCTTTACATGCTAACAACAGCATGAATATTCTCTATACTGTTCTCAATATATTTAACGAGGTGTTGACAAGGAGAATTTGCTAAACAATCAAGAGCTTCATTAGTTAATAATTATTTCCCTCATTCTTGTGACCTTATGTTTAATTTGGGGTTAATAGGGGACCTACAAGCTCCAGCTTGTTGCCTGTGAGTTCTTCCAACACGGGATCAAGGTCTCTCATCCCGTAATTAGGTTTTTTTTCTGCGAAACGAACCCTCCTCAACCATTCCGAACTTCATCTCTACGGAGTTGGTATTCCAAAACCGGTCTCCTCTCTCTGTTTCATCCTCCATGCCGAAGTGCCTTAAACAGAGTTTGTTTCATGTGCTTGCGCTGTCATTATTAGCCGCCATTTTTGATGAAGCCTTTACTTTTCGTGCCAACTGCCGCTGACGATTCCTGCGCCAGCGTGCATCAGAGTTGCGGGAGGAAAACCCTTGGCAACTGACCATCGTGATTTCACCGGTTGGATAAAATCACTCTTCATATTCATCTACAATATCTTGTTGAGAAATAAACCATGACAAAGCTTTGACTTAGCATTAGCATGAATAATAATTATTGCTCGATCAATTGTCTTCTTTAGTGATGCATGTTAATAATGACAAGAAAGTAATGCTTGTTAATATTGTTGTCTGCTAAAAATTTGATTTTTGGTTTGGTTTTCTTTTCTTTTCTTTTCTTTTCTCACATAAGCATTCCACTTGTTGGGCAGATGTCCATCTTGAATGAGATCCTTTTGGAATGGCTTCTTTTGCACTCAACCCTTCAATTACTCTGTTACAATGTTTTATCTGACGGTGCATAATACCCGTAGGCCTCCACTTAGATGTTCACTTTGCTTGTCAAGCAAAGATAAATCAGTAGTTTGCCGTCCATATATGCACATGCATCTGTATATACAGCGACTCCAGAGAAAATTTCTCATTGCCAGAAAACATTTTAACGCTAAATTGACTTAAATTCCAAGGGTGTGAGTAATATGCAGACCCTTCTCAACAATCAGAACATCACAGTGGTGAAACATAACACCAAAACTTGCAGACTGATAAATATTTTATAGGGAAGGCTACATTCTCTTTTCCAGCGAAAAAATCTTCCCATGCTCAGTGATATTTTTCGAATAATCCCCAGGCTTTGTGCAGGGTATTCTACAATGTACCGGCTAACATTATTAACTTCACCTGAGGGTAACCTTCAGACACCTACCCTCGACCCAAGATTCTTTTACGCGAATAAAGGGTGCAATTCCGGCGATCTAACGTACAAATGCAGTATATATATTCTTCCCTATTTCTATATTTTGAGCACATTCGAAAATCAAAACAATTTAACAGCTCGTACCCTGCATATGCAATATATCCCAACATGCAAAATGAATTTTTCAATAAATTCTGACAAAGGGTTAAATTGTATCCATTCATCTTAGAAATTGGAATAAATTATGACTCGGATATCCCTTATTTTCCGTTTTTTCTAATTAATTCCAGAAAAACGGGGTAAATTCTGAGAATTCATCCCATAAGTGGAATACATTGTAAGTTTCATTTCCAATCTTCGACTCGATCTTCAATTTTTATTTCAATGAATTAAAAAAAAACGGGTAAGTTATGAGAATTCATACCGTGAATGGAATATATCCTAAGTTGTCATATCCAGTCT